ACCTAGACACAGGAGAACTATTGTCGTGAAAGTGTTGTACAATCGATTACGAATTTAGATTGCAGAGAGTTTGTTCTGAGCGCTAAAGGCACTCACGATAGAGCACATTTTGCTTTATTCTAACAACAGCTCTGAAAAGATTCAAGTTAGATGCAAATTCTGAAATAGCCCACCTATTGTTCTAACTTCATTCAATTTTTTTAGTCTATATTATATTTGTCACCAATGTTGGTGTCTAAGAAAGCTGGTTTGGCTGGAACGGGAGAATTCTTGGTGGAAATGCTCCAAGAACCAAAATCACTTGAGGTGGACTCGAAGAGATTTTTGGCTACATCAGGAATGTTTGCCAAATTGATCATCAAACTTATGGGAGTGCGGCGGAATCATTTCTACCTCAAGATACCCTATACCAATGTCTCAACCTTGCCAGGTACATCAATGAGCAAGAAATATCAGTTTAAATAAAGCAATTCAAAGCAATTTGGTCAACAATTTGGCCAAATCATACCAGATCATGCTTTGGGGCAACAAACTTACATGTGATTCAAACTTCCCATTTGCTTAGGTACCTTGATCTAGATAGGCCAAATCCATCAATAGGTCCAGTAATCCTTTGTCCATTAGAGGGAGTAAAAGGGACTGGCAGGTTGTTGTTTGGGTTTCTGTCTCCATGGTGCCAGGAGGACCCGCCAAAACGGAGCAAACTCATAATATTACCAAACCAACACATCATCTTGGTCAACATTTATATGCCAATGGTCAAATTCTTCTTCCGCTAACAACGCACTTGCTCAAAATATATGCAGAGAAGAGATTGGTGTATTGTCGGTTTTTTGTCTTGTTTTCAAACACTCAAAGTTTTTTAATATGTGTGCGCTGGGAAATCTTTGCCTTGACAAGGCTGGATTCAGTGGAAATGAACTTGGCACTAGTAGTAACTACATGCAGCATTGGGTTGGAAGGCGTGATCCTATGATTTTTCTGTAGAAATGTACCATAAGGTGGGCTTGAATCCATCCTGGCGCAAATTTTGCCCTGCTATTACAAACAGCTTAACTTGAAATGTGTCATCATATTGAGCTCACAAGTAAAGTACCATGGGAGCCGTCAACTGTACAACTTGGGAAACTCTCAACAAGACAAAATACTCCTTTTGAAGATCCACCATCAAATGAATCTGCAATGCGCAAGTTAGATCCTGTGCAACACAACTGACAACAATGGCATCTTGTACAACAAATCAACACAACTGCTGATAGGTTGCATGATGTTCCAGTATGTCCATCATTGTTATCATCTGAAAGGAACTCCAAAGTCACCGCAGAGAATCTTTCTGAATGGTTGGGAATCAGCATTGGTTGAGCAACAGCTAAATCCAACGCAACCCTGCAACAAGATCAGCTATTATGCCACTTGCAAGGAGATATCCAGCCAATTGGATGTTTGAATTGAAGGGGGAATTTCTACTGATACTGCCTATTTCAAGTGAATATAGATTGTCTGACAGACTTGCATCAAATTGCTGACATCACAATTACAATCTGACCGTGCGTGTCAAAAGTTCGTATTTGAATAGTTTTTCTTGGAGCGTAAAAACTCATATTTTGTCACATCCCAACACACTCCTGCCATTGTGACAATCACCATTGGCAGCAATGGGACATGCTCTCATTCACTGTTTTTTTTCTTTTTTGTATTTTGATTTGAAAATGCTATACATACTTGTCTGACCTAGTCCTGTGGACCAAGAATCAGATCCCTAAACTTGAAACACTTCTCACCTTGCAATGGCTTAGTCATGAAATCTGCAATCATACTGTCAGTTGGACAGTATTTGATATTAACATTTCCTTTCTCAACTTGATCTGTGATAAAGAAATGACCAATATTGATAGCTCGGCTTCTTTTGCCCGCGCTCTTGCAACCATTCTCTTCCAGTAGAATCGCGCTTTTGTTATCCTGATACAAAATATTCTTCTCGATTGGATACCCTTGCCACTCCATGAACAAGTTTGTCCATGGTATTATGGTGACAACATTGTCAACAGCAATCAGTTCTGCTGCTTCTGCTGTTCAACTTTGCTTCTTTGACATCACTTGAGCTGCACCTCCTCCAAAGGACAGAGTGCCGCCAGTATGGCTCTTGAAACTTGGATGCACCGCAAATGATGCGCCGATCATCCATTTCATGACTCGTAGTGATTCTGCGGCAAGTGTCAGGTGATACAACAATGTACAAAACAAATATTGCATCATGCAAACACACTGCTTCCAATCAAACTCTGTAGGTTCTTGAACTCTTGAGGCAAGCATAGTGATCATTGGGTGGATATCCAAACGGGCTCTCTTAGAGACATAAAGTCCCCTTGCAACAGTAGTATGGAAGATCTGACGGTACTGGGATGATTACACAAGGACTGACATTGCCAATGTCAACAGTCTCCAAAAAGCATCAGCAAAAAAAAAGTCACTCTTAAAAGCCATTCAAGGGATCGTTCATGGTTGTGGGAAGGGGACAGCAGGACCAGATCCTATTACACCTGTTGTTATTGGGTTCAAAATGACCTTGAGCACCAACCAGCAAGAAAGAAAGTCAAGAAGATAGATGAAGATCAAACATTTGCAACGTATCAAAAACTAAATAAAAACGTAGCCTGGGACAATGAGCCTTTCAAGGGCACAAATGTAGCAAAACAATTTGAGGAGGGGAAATGGCATGAAGGATACATGAGATGCAGTTGGGAAGAAGAGAGCAACAGTAAGAGATATTATAGTCTGATATACACAGATGGCGACAGGGAGGATGTTGATCATTGAGTAACTTTCCTTCACCAGCTTTCGGTAAATTGATACCCGCTGGTGTTCCTGCTTTGAATCCTTGTTGAACTTGATTGGAAAATCCTCCAACATGTTTTTCACGTAGTTGTCAATGCGGATCTTGAGTTTTCCTTTCACCGAGAAATCCAAAGTCATTCCAAGATATCTATGTATCCTTCCTCTGACAATTGATGTACTACTGTTAGATGAAGTTCAGACCTTCATCAGTATCGAACTTGGCCTTGATCTGCATCATGCAACGAGCAATCAGAATAGTGTCGTGCTCTTCATAATCAGCTTTCATCTCATTCCCAATCTGTTGGAAACATAGATTGTGCTGTGCTTCAAGGATAGCTTTACTTGTTCTTCAACGGTTTCAATTCTCTCTCTCAATGCTTGCATCTTGTCGCAGAACTGCCACTCCTGTTTGAAGGCCATTCTCTTGGTTTCTTTGGAACTTGAGAAAGGTTCAGCCCAGACTGAGTGACTTTTGGTACTCAAACCTACAAAGACTACATTTGAAAAGTATCGATCAGCTATTGACAAATACATGATGAACGCTGATGACAATGAAGCAAACAAGCAGGGGAGAAACATGGATGGGTGTGGTTATGCCTTGTGTAAGGAGCTACTTGAGACATACATTGAAACATGGACATTAGTATAAAGTCTACAGGACTATACAACATGGTGAAGGTTTGGCCTAGTAAAGTAGATGCGTGAGATTCCTCATCCATGCTCAGTGATCTGAATAATACAAGTATTGAACAGAAAGTACAGAATAGAAATGTAGCAGTCAAGGAGCCTTCCAGCACGGTATCCCGCAGCAATCATCTCACGCATAGCAAGTACATTGGCAATTCCATCTTCATTGTGGTAAACTGGAGGCGGAAATCTTCCTAGAAAACCTTCTTTGTCAAGAACTCTGCTGCCGGGGTTAGTGTGCATATTGAGCTCCTTCACAGCATGACGGAGTCCATGCATGAGCTCACCATTAAAAAAGGTGGTGTTTGTGCAACCACTGTCCATGATGACATGATCGTACAATCCAAATGGATCCTTTTCTCTTCTGCAGCTTTGAATAAACTACATACCTTGATCTGCTTCAGTAGCAAGATCAGGCAAACCTTCATTTTCACTAGCATAGTGCCAGTCGGCTTGAAGTTCAACATTTGTTGTACCAGCAGGACATGGAATAAGCTAGACATCATTGCCATTCTCATCCTTTTCCTTGATAGCATTGTGGAAGACATTTCTGACATATCATAATAGCCAGTCTTCACAATCTGCGGAGTTTTAGCTTGAGTTGCATCGAATCCTTGGCGCACTTGAGCACCACTGAATCGTTGGTGGCCGAGTTGCATTCCGCTGAACGCAATTTCACCATTAGCATTCATTGAGTAAGGGACAGTCACAGTGCAGCAACCTTGAGTTGGAACTTGCTTCATTTGATTACCTGTAGTACCAGCAAGTCGCAAAGGTGTGTTAATGCTTCCTGCAACACTTGATGCTCCACTTGTGGATGCTGAAGCTCCAGGAACTATAGCTGGAACAGTAGCTGGGACAGTTGCTCCCATCTGATTAAGATTGAGCTTCTTCCCATAGTCCACATATTATCCTAAATCTTCCATTGGATCTTTGGGGGCATTTTGGAGACATATGGTCTTTGTTGCCACATACATAACATGCTGCCTTCTCCTTTCCATCCTTTCGTTTGCTTTACCTTTACCTTTACCTTTACCTTCCTTTGGTTGGTTTTTTCCTTAGTATAGGTTCACTCCATGTGAATCTTCAACATATTGTGTGCTTTGCTGACCGTCTTTGGATAGTAATCCACTTCCCTGCAATAGATTGTCTGAAGATCCAGCATCAGAGGAGCTGTTCTCGTTTGATTGCAGTTGCACAGAAATCCTGTTGCAAGAACGGCTTCAAAGATATCATCCTTGAACTTGTCTTGAGCAGCAGTATCGGTGCTAGCAATAGCAGCATACGCTTGTGTCTTGACTGCAAAATTTTGGAACCAGGCAACACCATATAGATCTTGCAGGACCTCAGCCTGTCTCAAGAATTGTTCCTTGAAATGCATCAAGTTTTTGGTCGTTCCTTGTTTCATAGCAAAAAACTGTTGGTTGGATTCCCAGAAATCCAAGAAGTCATACTTGGCATCAGCACTCTTCTTCATGAATCGTTCAATAGGTTTCAAGAGTTCAATTGGATCTTCAAGAGTAGGTGTGAAATTGGCTTCACCTCAAAGCTTGATATCCATTGCCTTTGTCACAAACTTAAGCATGATGTTTGATTTAACAGTTCTTTTGTTCATTTTGAAGTAGGCTGATCTTTGCATGTTCTCGTCAAGCTTTGCAGAATAGAGAATCTTGTTATGGGCCATCTCTGTTTCTCTTACAACAGCTTCAGTTTGAGTTGGAGTGTTCAATCTTGGAGCAATTGCATTGAAGTCAATCGACTTCCTATTGCACATTGATCTTGCCATGTCTTTGGAGCACTTCATACCAGAAGCTTGGATGTAATCAATCACTCTCTCTTTGGGGACGCTGAAAGAAAGAGTCAGAGTAGCCTCTTGCACAATTACCGGTCCCAAAGGTGATCACTGAATGTCTTGGATGTTGAGAGGCCAAGATAACGAATGCCTTTGTTAGAATAAAGCAAAATGTGCTCTATTGTGAGTGCCTTTAGCGCTCAGAACAAACTCTCTGCAATCTAAATCGTAATTGACTGTACAACACTTTCACGACAATAGTTCTCCTGTGTCTAGGTATACTTTGAGTGAAATTGTTCCTATTTGATTAATATTTGGCTTGAATTGATGATTCAATCACAAAAGTAAGTTCAACAATTTTCTTTTGGAAAATCCCTTGTTTACAGAACTTGATTCGACCTCTACGACAATTCTGTGTTGGATGCAGTACTTTGGGACATCTTGCATTATTCCCAACTGCATTCTACACAACACCGATATTCCACTTGTATAGGGCCATTCCCTTTTTGTGTGGATGTAGATTGTCCGACAGACTTGCGTCCGGCATACTTTTGTCAAATCCCGACATCACGATCAAAGTCCGATCGTACGTGTCGAAAACTTTGTACTTGAATAGTTTCTTTTTGGAACATAAAAACTCATATTTCGTCATATCCCAACACACTCCTGCCATTGTGACAATCACCATTGGCAGCAATGGGACATGCTCTCATTCACTGTTTATTTTTTTGTTTTGTATTTTTTTCTGAACATATACATACTTGTCTGACCTAGTCCTGTGGACGAAGAATCAGATCCCTGAATTTGCGAAACTTCTCACCTTGCAATGGCTTAGTCATGAAATCCGCAATCATATTGTCAGTCAGACAGTATTCGATCTTAACATTTCCTTTCTCAACTTGATCTGTGATAAAGAAATAACAAATATTGATAGCTCGGCTTTTTTTGCCCGCGCTCTTGCGACCATTCTCTTCCAGTAGAATCGCGCTTTTGTTATCCTGATACAAAATATTCTTCTCGATTGGATACCCTTGCCACTCCATGAACAACTTCGTCCATAGTATCATTGTGACAACATCGTCAACAGCAATCAGTTCCGCTTCCATACCGCTTCTGCTATTTAGCTTTTGCTTCTTTGACATCACTTGAGCTGCACCTCCTCCAAAGGACAGAGTGCCGCCAGTATGGCTCTTGAGATCTGGATGCACCGCGAATGATGCGCCGATCATCCATTTCATGACTCGTAGTGATTCTGCGGAAAGTGTCAGGTGATACAACGATGTACAAAACAAATATTGCATCATGCGAACACACTTCTTCCAATCAGACTCTGTAGTTTCTCAAACTCTTGAGGCAAGAATAGTAATTGTTGGATGGATATCCAAACAAGCTCTCTTAGAGACATAAAGTCCCCTTGCAACAGTAGTATGAAAGATTTGACGGTACTCAGCATTGAGTAACTTTCCTTTCCCAGCTTCCAGTAAATCGTTACCAGCTGGTGTTTCCTGCTTTGAA